CCGCTCACACTGTGCTCCGGGTGTGTGTTCACGGTGTGTGTGTGTGTGTTAGGCTGTGTGTGTGTCCACTTTGGATGGGATAAATGCAGAGCACTAATTCCGAGTATGGGCCACCATACTTGGCCACATGTCACTTTCACTTTTCACTTCCCATTGACAACTTTCTGGCAGAGGGCAGCAGATTTTCCTCAAGAATTTGACAGTATTTTGCCCCATCCATTTCTCCTTCTATCCTGACAAGTGCTCCAGTCCCTGCTGCACAGAAACTCCCCCTTAACAGGACATTACCACCTCCATGCTTTACTGTAGGAATGCTGATATTTAGATGGTGAGCTGTATTGGATTTCCGTCAGACATATCATATGGTGTTGAGGCCAAATAATTCAATTTTAGTCTCTTCTGCCTCAGAATCTCCTTTTGGCAAAGCTCAGACTGACTCAGAAGGCATGTGGCCTTTCTTGAGGAGTGGCTTTATTCTTGCAACCCTCTCATACAAGCTACATTTGTGGAGAATTTGTGATGTTGTTCTCACATGTGCACAATGACCACTCTTTGTCATAAATTCCCGCGACTGCTTCAGAGTTGCTGTAGGCCTCTTGGTCGCCTCTCTAACCAGTTTCCTCCTGGCTCTTTCATCCAGTTTGGAGTGACAACCTGATCCAGGGAGAGTCTGTGTTCCTCTTTCCAACAAAGTGATTCTGTTCTTTTAAAAAACAATTTCTGACATGTTGGTGCTACCTTTCACCTGGATGTTATAGGTTGCACTTAAATGCTGGAACAATCTCTTCACCTAAAAATATGACATTTTCACATTAAATTTGTGATTTAATGGAAGTAGTGACAGATATTTTCCTGTGTATTGTGACGTACATCCAGGTAAAACAGCTTATCGAAAAAAAAAAAAAAAAGTAAGGTGGGACTTAGTTTTATCTATTAGTTGTTGAGTGGACAGAGACAGATCTAAATGTGAGCTTGCAGTCTATTGTACAAAAGTCTGCCCATCACCGGAAGATTGAGTTATGGTATTTTCATAAAAAATCATGAGGTCTAAAAAATTAAAATTGAAACATGCATGAACAATTTGTTCACAATAAGATGCATTCAGAAAATAGAGAGGGCGAATTTTCATTTCATGTGGACTTCAAAGTCATTTACAGTTTTGAAATATCAGAGAACAAAATAGAATCAAGGATCTATAATTCAGTAAAATAAAAAATTGGTTAAGAGTCTGAATCCTTCACTTTGCAAAGTTTAGTTAATCTAAATTGTAAACCGATAACAGATGACTCTAAATTGTAATGTAGACATGCATTTTCTGTAAAGCTGCTTTAAAACGATGTGTATTCTGAAAAGCGCTATACAAATAAATTTGAACTGAACTGAATTAAAATACCCCCCAAAAAAGTGGAACAGACTGTCATTTCAGTTGTTGACAAAAGGCTCTATTTTATTTTTCTGTTATAGCAGAGTCCTTGTTGCTCAGTGTCACTCTCAGTGGCTGATGTATTCCTATCGAAGAGCATCTAAAAATGTGTCTTCGAAAACCTCTCTGATTTAACCAGGTTTCACATATGAGCCATTTAAAAAATACACAGAAAATTAATACCATAAGCTGTAATAATGGACTGTAGTTTTCTCTCCTGCTGATCGTAGTTATCTCTTCCACAGCATACTATTAGTACAACAGTATTAACGGCTCTCAGCTCTAAACAAAAAGAGGCTGAGATACCCGAGATGGCAGACAGAAAAAAAAAAGGAGGGAGGAAGGACAGAATCTTAGCGAGAGAATGAGTGGGTAAGACCATGTGACCATTTGTGCTAAGGTCATACGAAACTAAAAAGACAAACACAGTCATTGAGGAAGTGGGAATAAGTGCTTATGAAGTGACTGGTAGTTACAACCCGTTCACTGATCCATTTCAAAATTGGAATCAGAAGCTTTCTCCCCCATTCACTCCATCATGCACATGTTGAATCCAACAACTGTAAGGCAGAGGTGTCCATTTTTAAGGAAAAAATTACAAGAAGAAAATGCTGGCCTCTCCATTTGTCTTGAGTTTATTAGCAATAGCTTCTTCATCATGTGTCTTCTCCTTTCTGTCCTCCCATGTCTTCTCATAGCATTTCCTCAGAGGAGTCCATATGACTAATGGGAGCTCACAATGACGAGAGGCTGACAGTTCCAGCACAGGAGAGGCTAACACTTAACGGGCAGAGCCATGTAAAAACCAGACGGTGACCAGAAGAGAGACTGGCCCTGAAAGATACGATCACCAAAGCCGATGCTGGTGGAGATTTCGACTGAGGACGGAGCGAACATCTGAGGTAAACCTAGAAAGGGAGTGAAAACACAGTAAGGGCAACTTACTGAAACAGCAACATAAGACAAAAGTTCCGTAACATTCCATAACATATAGCAGTCATGTGGAAAAAAAATCCCAAACACTTTCACTTGTTTTCTGAAGAGAAATAAAGAAACACACCCGTGGTATTCAAAGGGAAATTTTTTGCAATCAGGTTTGTCAAGCTGTGTACACTGTCACACAGAATGCTTTTTTGTATTATGATTGTAATATTTGACTTCTTGGTCTATGTATACATTCAAACAGATATCTTTGGCAGATGCGACTGTTTTGGCATTTTTTTTTAGCATTTTGCACCAAGAGCAGCGTGTTCTTAAGATGCTGTGTCAAGCTAAAAAAAGCTGTAAAAATGCCTTGAGAACCCTCCATCTACCTGCATTTGAATGCAAAAACGTGCTTCTTGGTAAGTGTGGTTTGGTGAGGCGCGCTGCCAACAACTGAGGTTGCGCTGACTGCAGACATGTAAAAACATGAGGGTGGTAAGGAATGATCCCAAGCATGTTTGTTCAAAACTGCTAAAGCAGACAGGCTCATCACAGTGGTGAAAACAATCTGGCATCTGTTAAACAAATTTCTGCTAAATAATGCCAGAGAGCAAGTCTTTCAGATGTCTGGTATTATGTTTCATGGCAGTTGGCCCACACAGAACATGCACTCCCCCTACCCCACATTTTGTCTGCTGATCATTTAAGAAAATCTGTGGGATGAATTTAAAGGGATAGTTCACCCTAAAATTAAAACTGTCATTGTTTCTTACCTTCATGTAATTCCAAATCTGTATGACTTTCTTTTTTGGTGGAATACAAAAGAATATACTTTGAAGAATGTTGGAAACCAAACAGTTTCAATACCCAGACCTCCACTGTATGGGGAAAAAATAATGCTAAGATATTTATTTTAAAGCAGCACTATGTAACTTTTGGCGCAAATATAAGTACTTATTATAAGTGTACCATAGTGATTCGGAATAAGACAAAAACACGGTTTGGAAGATGAATTCATGATGTAATCGCTCATTATATACATTTTGCACATTTTGAACAGAAAGTTACATAGTGCTGCTTTAAGTTCCACAGAAGAAAGGGTAAATAAATGATGACTTAGGTCAACTATCCCTTTAAATATGGTACCATTATTAAATGAGGGCACTACAGTCTTAATAATAGTGGCTAAAACCGGCATGAAAATGATAATAAACATGCAAGGGGTATGTGTAGAAATTAAAAAAAAATGAAGGGTGTTCAAATTGTGCAGAATTTATATGGCATAAATTCTCAGTAGGCCTAATCATGATTAAGAGATTACTATGACCATGACTTAAAGAAATGTTTATACCTCAATGCATCCAACATTGGGAGCAGGTTAAGAAGTGCTGTGTCGCTTGGGTCACTGAACCACGACTTTATAGGTATTGCATTGTCTGAGGGTGAAAACAAATTCAAATGACATTCATAACACAATTTATTACACTAAATCATTTGTGCATCTGCTAGATTTTTGAATAGACGAACAAGATGGATGTAAGCACACGATTACCACAATTTTAACATCACATTTAGAAAATCAGAGTGGACTCATACAAAATAAAATCCTGATTGTGCTCTCCATAGATGTACAGCTGTAGATCTCTAACCTGGGTGACTTCGATAAGCTCCAGGCGAGTTGTCCAGAATGACTATACTGGAGAGATCACTGTGTACTACAGATAGATCTTTTATGTAGCTCCCTAAATCCAAAGTACAGTGCTACAAAAAGCGCGAAAGAGAGACAGATGCACAGGTTCAGAAATTGAACAAACAGACATGTAAAACTATTTCTTAGGCAGGATCAATCAACAAAAGTCTGTACAGAGAGTAAGAATTGGTCCTTAAATACCGTATCAGGAGAAAATGTGGAGGCAGTGGGTTTTACCTGTCTGTAGTATCTTCTTTTGAGGATATCCCTGTTGTTATCCAGCTTATCTGCTACGGCCGATCCATATATCTCCATACTAGCTGTAAATACTACCAGCTCATACCACTGACTGACCTGACAAATACCAGCAAGAGGACATACAGATATAAACAGGCATACACACACACATATACACAATACTCATTAGAATATTGGTGAAATTTGTCAGAAGAAAAACTAGTGCACAAAGCAAATGCAAGTAAATTGGCAACATTTACTAATAAAAAAAATTATGAGACAATTCACTCACCACTTCTAAAAAGAAGTCGACGTGTGGCCTTTTATGGACAAAAAACCTGACTGGGTGTTTGTCTATTACCACCTGAATAAGAGAGAGAAAGAAAAAAAAAACTTTTCAAACATAATCAAAATTGACCATTTACAAGGCTGCATTTTTTTAATTGAAAATACAGTAATATTATGAAACATTATTACAATTTATTTTAGTTTGTATTTTAATACATTTTAAAATGTAATTTATTTCTGTGATGGCATAGCTGAATTTTCAGCAGCTATTACTCAAGTCTTCAGTGTCAAATGATCCTTCAGAAATAATTCTAATATGCTGATTCGGTGCTGATTCTTATTATTATCAATGTTGAAAACAGTTGTGCTGCTTAATATTATATATATATATATATAAATCGAAATGTTTTGTAACATTATAATTTAAAGCATGCTCGCTGAATAAAAATATTTCTAATAAATTTAAAAAATCAGGTTTTCAATAGACAGTAAAATGTGTGAAGTGCTGAGTGAAATAAACCCTGCATTTCCCAAAAAGCAGCAATTACCGAAATAAAATATTACATCCATTGTCGGAGAGGTGCATGTGTGTACCTTGAGGATAAAGTCTGGCGGTGTACCAGGCCTCACTGTAGGTCTAAGGACGCCATCATGGTGAGAGTGAATCAAAGTCTCATCCAGATCCAACACCAATATCTTCCTCTTCACCGCATCTAAGCAGCAAACGGTCAATAAGCATCACACACAGTGAAAAGTGGTGATTCAACATTCAGAAATCCTTTAACATCTCAGGTCCTCCAACCTCTCCCAATCCTATGCCAATATGATCTCATGTCCATAAGAATTTCAGCCATGAAAAGATTAAGATCCCTTTCTAACTGAGACTTCTTCCACTCAATCTCTCTAATCCTGATATATGAATATGTAATATACTTATATTTCCCAAGATATCTATTAATATTTTCCACAATGCTTTATAGGGATATCAACTCTACCCAAAGTATAATGTACTCAATTCTTAAAAAACAAATCTCTGCTGACAGTGATTTTGATACAACAGATTCTGGGTCACAAATGCATCCAGCTGTGTGGTTAGAAGCTCCCCTAGTGGACAAAACTGCACATAACAGAAGGGTGAGGGAACTTACTGAGTCTGTTTCTGGAAATAGGGGAGAGAGGTAATGTGTCATAACGCACTGTTTGGTACTGGATTATCTGTGGAAGACAGAACAGCAGACAAAGATAGAGCCAGTGATGCACATGGAACAATCAAGGAACTTTTCCTTGCTCCCAAAATGCACACATTCAGACCGATCGTACAGAGGACCTATAGAGTTCTGTCTCTTTTCATGATCAATTTCTCTTCCTAATATTGCATCTTCTTTGGCCCTTTCATCACGCTGGTGCAAAGCTCAGATGAGGGCATCGTATAGCAGACATCTATATAGTCACGCACCTAGAATGACCCCATACTGCCACAACTGGTCCATTAATACACCTCCAAAACAGCTGCCAAAAGTTGTCATGGAAGTGTAAGGCAAGTAGAAAAATCAGTGTACTTTTCTTATCTACTTATGTAATGTGACTTTTATGTATAAATAAAATACAAACCGTTTTGTGTGATTAGAATAAAACTTAAGTTAAAAATACAAACTTGTTTTGGCTCAGGTAGTTATGTAAAACAACTCAAGGTCATTTGGTTTTTCCAGAGTAGCCTGGGTGCATCAATTAGTGCAGTTTGAAAATTATAAACAGATTTCCAACAATGGTGTGTTTATGAAATTATAGCTGTCATGACGTTATGAGATAACTGTATTATTCCCAGCAATTATTAGTAATTTAAAACTTAATTTTTTAACAAAACATTTACATGAAGAAGAAAACATGTATAAAATGTATTTAATACAATTCTCAGTGAGCGTATTGTACTTTAATAGTTTTGGGTCTGTACCTCTTTTCATGGCAGGCTAAACATATTGTAGGGGGTCCATAGTCCAAAGTAATTAGGACAAACAGCATCACAAACACACTGCCCTGGGGTTACAGAGGCACAGCTGAAGCAGGCACAATCTGAAACCTACTACTGTGCCAAAGTTTCATTAAACTTTTTTTGATACAATGAGTATGAGGAACTTTAACACAAATCAACAATTAATCCAAAACATATTTCTGTTCTCATATGCCAAGTTTTTTTTTATTACAGATCCTACAATGACACAGCTGAATAGTAGGCTATGTTTATTTGCACTATAAAATTTTGCATAAGTGACACCTCAGTAAATATATTAATATTATCGATTGCAAAAATCTGAACAGGGTTAAAGGGTTAAAATAAACAATATGTCTGGTAACTCTTAGGAATTAGTGCATGAAAACAATATTACTCGAATGACTTAGTACACAATAAGTGTTATAAAGATTCTAACATTTCAAATATACCAGTAGCTGTTTGTCTTTTGAAGATTAGTTCAGTTCAGTTTATTTGAAGAAAGGAGCTCATAAATGAAGAAAACATTATTTACAGACGACAGGTCGGAATTCATTATATAGAGAACAGATAAACATGTGTTCACATGCCATATGTTGACTTGCTCACCGTTCGTAGATGTTTCCTGAGGATGTATAAAATGAAACTCCATATTCTAGACGTCACTCCAAGGAAGGTGCGAATCCCGAGTAAACACTGACGAGTCTTCAACATGCCGACAGTCGATGAACGGCGCAACGGTGAACCATAGAAGAGATGCACACTCTCCACTAGAGACCAATGACTTCAGAAGAGCTGGAACTACGGCTACAGCTAATCAGGTCGGCTAACCACTTCCCGCCGCTTCTTTGCTTTTAAAGTCCCGCGAGCGAGGCTAGCCAAACTACAGAATCCAGAGACTCTGCTGCACCTGGACCAGCCAGTGTCACAACACTGCTAAAATGTCAAACGTCTTAAAGCGTGTAGCCTAGCCACGCACTCAAACCAGCCTCTGCGATCAAGGGCTAACTGGACTTGGATTTCATTGGCAAGGCAGCTAGCTTTGGATCTAGCCAGCTCTACAACAAATTATCCCTCCTCGGATTGACGACTCTTGTGCTCGACAAGTTCGATGTTAATCTCGAGACCTCAGACAAATGGCAAAGTATGCAAAAAGTCCAATAAGAAGCCATCAAATTCGTTTCATTACATATCCGGGAGCAAACTGTGAGCCGCCATCAGTACTTTGGTTTCGTCACTTCCGAGAAACAACAAACGTGCCCTCAGAGAAGCCGGGCGAAGAGAAGAGTGAGGACAGGGCTTCTGGAGAAAGATAGAGCCACACGAGGAGACTAATAAACTGTCAAACCATAAACTCTCAAATATATTGTTAATAACACATGACACTTAGGGCGAGACACTTAGGGCGAGCTATGCAATAGCTATAATAAAATAAAATAAAAATAGGAAGAAA